TGTGTGAAGCCATTTCTAGTGTACCCTGCCGTAATATTGCTGGAATATTGCTAAAAGCGGCGTAAAACCATACTCACTCACTCAACCCATCACCCTGATCGCACTACTTCACTATAGGCTCCCCTCGTTCATAGTGTGCTATATATTTATTGCTGTCTTATAATTGTCAAGGACGGGGTAGGACAATGGGCCATTTTGGCCCACTGAAAATGTAAAATTTTAAAATTAAAAGAAAAACTAAAAGATTATAAGTTATGTTCAAATGGCTTTCGACTAGCCTCATTCCTTCGTGCGAGTTGTTTACTTCTGACATTATGAAGTACATAAATATGAATTATTGGCCTCTTTTTGACCTTCAACAATAAAGCAGAAAGTCCATGGCCAAGGATGTTTCTTGCCATATGCCTGTTCTGTTACTACCTAGACTCTCTAAGAAACTCAACGTCAAAGGTTTGCTCATGTTCACATATTAGAACAACGCTGCTTGAAAACCTCTAAAATCAGCCTTTTTGACACATTTTTTAGCCTTACCTATGTACTTATATGTACCTATGATTTAAGGCCAATACATGCAACTCTTTCATTCGCATTGCAATTCTCTACTTCTAATTCAGTGATCACATCTGATAAGTATAATGATGATGTGCAAAGGTTTTCCTCATTTTTTAAAATATGCAGATGAATCTTACCCTACCCTTCTTCTTTATACTATCCCGTGTGGACCGCCTCCGTGGTCTAGTGGTAGAGAGTCTGCCCGGAGAGCGGAAGGTCCGGGGTTCTATCCACGGCCGCGTCATACCAAAGGACGTTTAAAGATGTTTTTTTGTTGTTACCCTGTCTGGCGCACGGCATTAAGAGGCTAAAAGAATGACTGGTCGGCTCGGAGTCAGTACACTGTGCCCATTTGGGTATTCATGTTAAACTGCGGCATGGTATCTCAGTGACTAGCACTATAAATCGGCCATCAGTCCGGACTAGTACAAGCATCCACACACACACGTGCATGCACGTCTTGGGCGCGACGTTGAACCCAATTTCACCTCAACTCACAAATCCCGTGTTTATATATTTACGGGATATTACAGGAACTCCACTTTACTATCAAGTGTTCCGAGTGAATTACTTTTCAGTTTGCCCGAGAAAACATTCAGGCCAAACTGAAAATTATTTCTCGAAGGACATGAAACTTGATATTTGATTGTAGTTCGTGGAAATGTTCTATTTTTTATCAGAGATGTCATTTCAAGGGGAATTAACAGAACAGTTTCAGTACCGTCAGTGCAGTAACTGAAAGAAAGGCAAATGTTTGTTGACCAAACCACGGCGGAAGTCAGTGATGTCATTGCACTGTAGGGGCGGTCGGGTAGCCTAGTGGTTAAAAGGTTCGCTCGTCACGCCGAAGACCCGGGTTCGATTCCCGACATGGGTACAATGTGTGAAGCCCATTTCTGGTGTCCCCCGCCGTGATATTGCTGGATTATTGCTAAAAGCGGCGTAAAACCATACTCACTCACTCACTCACTCACTCATTGCGCTGTAAAAAATAGTTTCCCAAATGATGTGTTATTGTCAAATTAAAAGGCCCTATTTGTGTTTTTTAAATGCAGTACGGCCTTATCATAACTGTGAAAGCACTTATTTAAGAAATTTAAATTGATCGTAATATCTCGTAAATGTCGCACTATGAACAAGTACCTAAAGGTCAGGGTTCACAATGAGAGATATGTGCACCGATATGTTTTGCGCCATTGGTAATAAATGCATGGATATTAACTCAACATGCATTAGGTCAGTCATTCGTCTGTTCATGCGTGTGACGTTTTTCACCATCTCGACAATTTTGGCAAGCAGTAGGTTTTGACCTCCAAATGTGATGTTCAGGCATTGTCTCCCTTTGGTGAACAATTGGTCGCAAATGTCGCAATTTGGTTAGTTGTGTCACTTCTGGTTGTTTTTTCTAAGGACGGCAACGCGACAATGGTTGTGTGGTTTTGAAACTTCATTTTTCCGTAAATTGTTATTTAATGAAACTCAAGATGAATTAAGTAAAGCGAAATCAATGTTATTTACATAACGGTAAGATATAACAAATGTTATATTTGGGATAACACTTTCTGATTCTAGTAGTTTTTGGGGTTGAGTCCACCAAATACTACATTTGTTACATTTCACAACCTTCTAAATGGCATTGTGTGTTCATAGCTTTCGGCCATGGGAGCCGTGGCAATTTTCAGTTTTCAGAGGGGTACACAAAGTACGTGATCTAGACTACCAGTTGTCGGACTTTCATTTGTTTTGATCAAGCCCAGGAGCCTGATGGGGTTAGATCGCTGACTTTGTGTGCTGTCGATTAGGTGCCTCTCTCTGGCAGTGTGGGTTCGAATCCATATTGGACGGTAAAGGTGACCAAATTTGTTGTGCACACCAATGATCGTGGGTTCGAATCCCGGTTCGATCTTATTATGCTTCTAACCCCAATACCTCTGCTCATGGATTTCAGCGAAGCCATTGACCTTTAAGACTACTTCAAGATGACACATTGTTGTATAACTGAAACACTGTTCAAAACAGCCCTTACCCAAACTCAGTCATTCACATCAAAGTGACATTTCTGTCCCAGTCCCATGTGCCGCAATTCACATATTGCCGATATTGCATCGAGCTCCCCCCCAACATTCAACCGAAGCGCCTCGATATAACTCAAATACCCCACTCAGTCACACACTCACTCTTTTTCACATCAAATTTATGTCCCGAGTGAAAACCTCCTCAGTGAATATTCACCCATGTATATTTTTCATGTAAGGTAATAACTGTGTAATGTGAGTGAGTTCGGTTTTACGCCGCTTTTAGCAATAATCCAGCAATATCACGACGGGGGACACCGGAAATGGGCTTCACACATTGCACCCATGTGGGTAATCGAACCCGCTTCTTCGGCGTGACGAGGTCAACCATTGGTCAGGGTGGCCTCACCCTGTGAGGATGCATGCAAGGTTGCTGGGTTTATCTGAATCTGAAATCCACGTTGATTAGGAGCCTTGATTGTGATATATGCTCTCTGGTACGAACCTTCCGTTATTTCCCTACCATATATCTAGTGGTAGAACGTCAGCCCGGGAAGCGAAAGGTCCGGGGTTCGATCCCCGTCGCGTCTTGTCAACGTGTTAACAAAGACGTTAACATATGGTGCTTGTTGTTACCCTGCCTGTCGCTCGGAAATAAGGGGCTAAAACAGGGGCTGGTCGGGTCGGAGTATACTGTGTCTGAGCGGAGTATTCATGTTAAACTGAGGCATGGTATTTCAGTTGGGATAGCTCTATAAAATTGGCATTAGTTCGGACTAGTACAAACTCACACACACACACACACACACACACACACACACACACACACACACACACACACACACACACACACACACACACACACACACACACACACACACACACACACACACACACACACACACACACACACACACACACGCACACACACACACGCACACACGCACATGAACGTAGCTATATACGTGCAATAATCTTGGACGCGACGTTAACCCCATTTCACCCCACCTCACCCTGCCATGTAAAGCTGAAATGTCTAAGACTGATCGACATGGTGAAAAATGAAGAGAATAAGTGAAACTGTGACAGTACCTAGTTTACTTAACATGAAAACACATACTCAGGCAAAAAATGATATGCTTAGATATGTTTTATTGAATATGTACATGTACATTAATCCGAAGTATATTTAGAGTTGTTTTCGGACGAAGACCTGAAACAAACAAAAAGAAATCTCTTATCTTTGAAATGATCTCAAAATCTGTCAATATTGAAAAAACAATATGAAATATGACTACCTTTTGTAATCAAATATAAAGATCCGCACAACTGGGAGTTAATAATAAATTGTCATGACTGGCATAGCGGACTTTCCTTTATACCCGCCCCATGATCAGTAATATTCGTCCTAATTAAACGCCAATGCAGATATTTTGTATTATGCTTTTGACTCTTCGTGATTAATCGCGTCGAAGGCGTGTACCAAACTGTAACTTTTATCTTCCAAAGTACTTACTGACATGTGAGGTGTTACATATGGAGTATGCACCAAATAGTCAACCATGGTGTCGATGACGACGGTGACGTCTGTGACGATGGCGACGACATCGGCGATGACGATGAGCGCCTGTCATGTCAAATGCCAACAAAGATCCTGGAAGAAAAATAACCCAGTAGAAGAAATATTTTCTGAAGTAAAATTTCTATTGTTTTGTGAATGTACATTTATTACTTACAACAAAGGAGGGTTTTAACTCCATGAATCAGACAAGTATTTTGCCTTGACAAATAAATTGAAGGACCAGATGAACCAGCACAATCTACTTGGGCTACGCGCCCATCAATAGTAGGAAACAATGTCACTTCAAGCAGATAAGAGATCTTCAAGTTTGATCTATGGGGATTCAAATTTAATTTTTTTTGTTTTTAATGTACTGGAACTACTCACCCAACAAAAGTACCACGAGCAGATACGAGATCTTCATGATGGAAAGAAAGAAGCGTCCACGTTTGACTGAAGACGGGCTGACTGCAGACTTGCCCCTGAAAACCCTGATGGTGTTTTGGCTACCTACTGGTCTTTTATATGCAAGTAAACTCGGAAGTTCATCAGGGAAAAAGATGTATGGATGCCCTCTTGGTCGTTATCTTGGGACTACTTGCTGTTTGTTGACACTAGCAACCACGTTAATGTTCACAGACGTGTCTCCCCTCTACCAGCAGCTGAAGGCGGCTGTTGCCGGTGTCGGTGTGATGATGTAGAGAGGTCACGGGACGCCGTCGGGGGCACTGATGCACAGCGTGGTGGTGGTTACATGCTCAATAAACGTGGTTGTCAACATCAACAGTCGGCAGGCGTTATGAAAGCTATACACACGTATACTTCCAGGCAGTTTTGTATATATATAAAGTGTTTGTGAGGACATAGTATACCTTCACAACCTCGTCATCTTGTTCTATTAACGTTCAGGCAGCAGAATCGTTTCACAAGTACAGGATGAAGATATCTTTCCTGATGGTACTTCTACTACTGGGTGAGTTAAATCGGGAGTTAAATCTCGCATATTTGAAAAGACTGTAATTAACTCACTTCAGTCAAACGATGCAAGCATTATTAACAGCAAAGAATGTAGCCATGAATTGTAAACTTAAGAAATCATGACTTTGTTTTCTTTATATTGAAGGTTCCCTCTTAGCATTTGACATGACAGGAGCACATCGTCACCGGAGATGTCGTCGTCATCGTCATAGACGTCGTCGTCACCACGGATGATTATCAATGATGGATTACTGCCCTCGAGGTAGAGCACCAGAGGCATTTGTTATGCTTTGTATATTTTTTGTGACATATACCTCACTATTCTGAAATCCTAAAGGGCCATCATTTACAGAACCTTGTCCACTACTATCAATGTATGAAATAAATACGGATGTTCAAATCCACACACTATCGAGTTGTTATATGGGCCCAAGTAGGTGACACCGGGTGTCCTATTGTACTTAACCTCAATGATAACCTCCAGCTTTTAGGGCGATTACATGTCCAAATGCTCATCATGAATGGTTGATGATAGTTATTAGTTCAAATAAGCAGTTATCCAACGTTATAGGACGTGATGTTTAACGGTGATATTCTTACATTTGTCCATATAACTTATAGGGCGGTGGGGTAGCCTAATAGTCAAAGCATCAGTACACCACACTGGAGATCAGAGTTCGAGCCATTTTACTGGTACAATGTATAAAGCCCATTCCCGGTATCATATGGCCGGAGTTCTCCAATAAAATTCTGCGCACACACGAATGTATCCTATGTTTCTGTTTCAGAGGAATGATCTACACCAGAGCACCAACATGGAAATGAGAGAATGCTTTTAATAAATCATCTATAACAAATCCTATTGTGTGTTGATTAAACTAAGAGGCTGGTAAGGTCAGGTCGATATTGAATCATGTAAAAATGAGTGAGTGAATAGAGTTATATTTTAGGTATGTTTCATAGAATAGTCAACGGCTGGAGACTTTGGGCAGCGATAACACTGACATAAGCAAGGTCACACATTGCAACCACACGATTCCAATGCCATTCAACTCATATGTGATGAGGGGGCACGGGTGGCCCAGTCGTCTAAGGCGCTGCGATTCGCTTTGCAGAGTTGCGTCCCTTGGGCACGCCAGAAACCTATGATTGTGGGTTTGAAGTGGTAAATGTCTGAGACCTGCATCACTTGGGGCTTTCCTCCCACATTAAGGTGACACGCCGCGATATAACTGGAATACTGTTAAAAGCGGCGTTCAACCCAACTCACTCACTCACTCGCTCATATGTGATGAGAGACTACATGGACATGTCTTTTGCGGCAGTCAGCACCAATTTAGCTATGTCACGGCGATTTGTTAACAATAGAGTGGGACCAGACAAAACCAGTGGTTGATATCACTTGCAGGAAGTACGATGAGACGCAACAATCAGTTCACCTCTTACGCACTTTAGACACATCTCAACATGACGACTTGAAATATTGCCGGGGACCACAGTTCAACTGAATAACAGCGTGGGCCAATAACAGTTCTGTGTACATGTGTTAAGTGATGTGAGGTAACGTCGCGTTTAAGCTTATTGCACTTGTATAGCAACGTGGTGTTAGGTAGTCAGGTGTACATATATAAGACAGATATAACGCTTTTCATATTCATAAGAAATCTCTGTCGAGTGTACGATTCCGACTACATCATAAGCATGTGTTTATGAAACACTATTAAATAGTAAATAAATAATACTAGGTTTTCACGAAAATGTAATTGCATCCTGCCCCACCGGTGGCGCCCGCCACAAACACATGCAACGACAAGTCAATTTTCACCTGTAAAAACACGGGAACATATGGCATAAATCAAAACAGGGAATTGTATTGGACATCATTCTTGCCACTGATGCCTAAAATTTGGAAATGTGCTCCACGTGTCATAATTATTTTTGAAAGGTTTACTGAGGCCTTGAATGTTGTAACCTTAAACAAACAGCTACGGAGCAAGAGTCTAATGACGCCCTTTGAAATCCTCATAGAAAGAGCATTCTCGATTGTACCTCAAAAGTTGGAAAAGGTAGACACCATATTTATTGCCCTCTTAAAATTGTCAAGGACGGGGTAGGACAATGGGCCATTTTGTCCCACTGAAAATGTCAAATTTTAAAATTAAAAGAAAAACTAAAAGATTATAAGTTATGTTCAAATGGCTTTCGACTAGCCTCATTCTTTCTTGCGAGTTGTTTACTTCTGACATTATGAAGTACATAAATATGGATTAATAGGCCTCTTGAAGGTCAAAACCTTCAACAATAAAGCAGAAAGTCCATGGCCAAGGATGTTTCTTGCCATATGCCTGTTCTGTTACTACCTGGACTCTCTAAGAAACTCAACGTCAAAGGCTTGCTCATGTTCACGTATTAGAAAAACGCTGCTTAAAAACCTCTGAAATCAGGCTTTTTGACACATTTTAGCCTTACCTATGTACTTAGTGTTGTAGTAAGGCCCATACATACATCTGTCGTTCTCATTGCAATTCTCTACTTCTAATTCAGTGATCACATCTGATAAGTATAATGATGATGTGCAAAAGTTTTCCTCATTTTTTAAAGTATGCATATGACTCTGACCCTACCCTTCTTCTTTCTACTATCCCGTGTGGACCGCCTCCGTGGAGAGCGGAAGGTCCGGGGTTCGATCCCCGGCCGCGTCATACTAAAGGACGTTTAAAGATGGTATTGTGTTGTTACCCTGTCTGGCGCACTGCATTAAGAGGCTAAATGAATGACTGGTCGGCTCGGAGTCAGAACACTGTGTCTGAGTGGGTTCTTCATGTTAAACTGCGGCATGGTATCTCAGTGAGCTAGCACTATAAATCGGTCATCAGTCCGGACTAGTACAAGCAGCCACACACACACCTGCATGCACGTCTTGGACGCGACGTTGAACCCAATTTAACCTCAACTCACAAATCCCGTGTTAATATATTTACGGGATATTACAGGAACTCCAATTTACTATAAAGTGTTCCGAGTGAATAAATTTTTAGTTAGCCGAGTAAACATTCAGGCCAAACTGAATTTTTTTTCTCGAAGGACATACAAGTTGATATTTGATTGTAGTTCGTGGAAATGTTCTATTTATTATCAGAGATGTCATTTGTAGGGGAATTTACAGAACAGTTTCAGTACCGTCTGTACAGTAACTGAAAGAAAGGCCGATGTTTGTTGACCAAACCACGGCGGAAGTCAGTGATGTCATTGTGTACTGTAGGGGCGGTCGGGTAGCCTAGTGGTTAAAGCGTTCGCTCGTCCGGGTTCGACCCGGGTTCGATTCCCGACATGGGTACAATGTGTGAAGCCCATTTCTGGTGTCCGCCGCCGTGATATTGCTGGAATATTGCTAAAAGCGGCGTAAAACCATACTCACTCACTCACTCATCGCGCTGTAAAAACTAGTTTCCCAAATGATGTGTTATTGTCAAATTAAAAGGCCCTATTTGTGTTTTTTAAATGCAGTAAGGCCTTATCATAACTGTGAAGCGCTTATTTAAGAAATTTAAATTGATCGTAACATCTCGTAAATGTCGCACTATGAACAAGTACCTAAAGGTCAGGGTTCACAATGAGAGATATGTGCACCGATATGTTTTGCGCCATTGGTAATAAATGCATGGATATTAACTCAACATGCATTAGGTCAGTCATTCGTCTGTTCATGCGTGTGACGTTTTTCACCATCTCGACAATTTTGGCAAGCAGTAGGTTTTGACCTCCAAATGTGATGTTCAGGCATTGTCTCCCTTTGGTGAACAATTGGTCGCAAATGTCGCAATTTGGTTAGTTGTGTCACTTCTGGTTGTTTTTTTCTAAGGACGGCAACGCGACAATGGTTGTGTGGTTTTGAAACTTCATTTTTCCGTAAATTGTTATTTAATGAAACTCAAGATGAATTAAGTAAAGCGAAATCAATGTTATTTACATAACGGTAAGATATAACAAATGTTATATTTGGGATAACACTTTCTGATTCTAGTAGTTTTTGGGGTTGAGTCCACCAAATACTACATTTGTTACATTTCACAACTTCTAACTGGCATTGTGTGTTCATAGCTTTCGGCCATGGGAGCCGTGGCAATTTTCAGTTTTCAGAGGGGTACACAAAGTACGTGATCTAGACTACCAGTTGTCGGACTTTCATTTGTTTTGATCAAGCCCAGGAGCCTGATGGGGTTAGATCGCTGACTTTGTGTGCTGTCGATTAGGTGCCTCTCTCTGGCAGTGTGGGTTCGAATCCATATTGGACGGTAAAGGTGACCAAATTTGTTGTGCACACCAATGATCGTGGGTTCGAATCCCGGTTCGATCTTATTATGCTTCTAACCCCCATACCTCTGCTCATGGATTTCAGCGAAGCCATTGACCTTTAAGACTACTTCAAGATGACACATTGTTGTATAACTGAAACACTGTTCAAAACAGCCCTTACCCAAACTCAGTCATTCACATCAAAGTGACATTTCTGTCCCAGTCCCATGTGCCGCAATTCACATATTGCCGATATTGCATCGAGCTCCCCCCCAACATTCAACCGAAGCGCCTCGATATAACTCAAATACCCCACTCAGTCACACACTCACTCTTTTTCACATCAAATTTATGTCCCGAGTGAAAACCTCCTCAGTGAATATTCACCCATGTATATTTTTCATGTAAGGTAATAACTGTGTAATGTGAGTGAGTTCGGTTTTACGCCGCTTTTAGCAATAATCCAGCAATATCACGACGGGGGACACCGGAAATGGGCTTCACACATTGCACCCATGTGGGTAATCGAACCCGCTTCTTCGGCGTGACGAGGTCAACCATTGGTCAGGGTGGCCTCACCCTGTGAGGATGCATGCAAGGTTGCTGGGTTTATCTGAATCTGAAATCCACGTTGATTAGGAGCCTTGATTGTGATATATGCTCTCTGGTACGAACCTTCCGTTATTTCCCTACCATATATCTAGTGGTAGAACGTCAGCCCGGGAAGCGAAAGGTCCGGGGTTCGATCCCCGTCGCGTCTTGTCAACGTGTTAACAAAGACGTTAACATATGGTGCTTGTTGTTACCCTGCCTGTCGCTCGGAAATAAGGGGCTAAAACAAGGGCTGGTCGGGTCGGAGTATACTGTGTCTGAGCGGAGTATTCAGGTTAAACTGAGGCATGGTATTTCAGTTGGGATAGCTCTATAAAATTGGCATTAGTTCGGACTAGTACAAACTGACACACACACACACACACACACACACACACACACACACACACACACACACACACACACACACACACACACACACACACACACACACACACACACACACGCACACACACACACGCACACACGCACATGAACGTAGCTATATACGTGCAATAATCTTGGACGCGACGTTAAACCCCATTTCACCCCACCTCACCCTGCCATGTAAAGCTGAAATGTCTAAGACTGATCGACATGGTGAAAAATGAAGAGAATAAGTGAAACTGTGACAGTACCTAGTTTACTTAACATGAAAACACATACTCAGGCAAAACATGATACGCTTAGATATGTTTTATTGAATATGTACATGTACATTAATCCGAAGTATATTTAGAGTTGTTTTCGGACGAAGACCTGAAACAAACAAAAAGAAATCTCTTATCTTTGAAATGATCTCAAAATCTGTCAATATTGAAAAAACAATATGAAATATGACTACCTTTTGTAATCAAATATAAAGATCCGCATAACTGGGAGTTAATAATAAATTGTCATGACTGGCATAGCGGACTTTCCTTTATACCCGCCCAATGATCAGTAATATTCGTCCTAATTAAACTCCAATGCAGATATTTTGTATTATGCTTTTGACTCTTCATGATTAATCGCGTCGAAGGCGTGTACCAAACTGTAACTTTTATCTTCCAAAGTACTTACTGACATGTGAGGTGTTACATATGGAGTATGCACCAAATAGTCAACCATGGTGTCGATGACGACGGTGACGTCTGTGACGATGGCGACGACATCGGCGATGACGATGAGCGCCTGTCATGTCAAATGCCAGCAAAGATCCTGGAAGAAAAATAACCCAATAGAAGAAATATTTTCTGAAGTAAAATTTCTGTTGTTTTGTGAATGTACATTAATTAATTACAACAAAGGAGCGTTTATAACTCCATGAATCAGACATGTATTTTGCCTTGACAAATAAATTGAAGGACCAGATGAACCAGCACAATCTACTTGGGCTACTCGCCTATCAATACTACGAAACAATGTCACGTCAAGCAGATAAGAGATCTTCAAGTTTGATCTATGGGGATTCAAATTTAAATTTTTTTGTTTTTAATGTACTGGAACTACTCACCCAACAAAAGTACCACGAGCAGATACGAGATCTTCATGATGGAAAGAAAGAAGCGTCCAGGTTTGACTGAAGACGGACTGACTGCAGACTTGCCCCTGAAGACCCTGATGGTGTTTTGGCTACCTACTGGTCTTTTATATGTTAGTAAACTCGGAAGTTCATCAGGGGAAAAGCTGTATGGATGCCCTCTTGGTTGTTATCTTGGGACTACTTGCTGTTTGTTGACACTAGCAACCACGTTAATGTTCACAGACGTGTCTCCCCTCTACCAGCAGCTGAAGGCGGCTGTTGCCGGTGTCGGTGTGATGATGTAGAGAGGTCACGGGACGCCGTCGGGGGCACTGATGCACAGCGTGGTGGTGGTTACATGGAGAGTACCTGGTCAATAAACGTGGCTGTCAACATCAACAGTCGGCAGGCGTTATGAAAGGTATACACACGTTTACTTCGAGGCAGTTTAGTATATATATATATAAAGTGTTTGTGAGGATACCTTCACAACCTCGTCATCTTGATCTATTAACGTTCAGGCAGCAGAATAGTTTCACAAGTACAGGATGAAGATATCTTTCCTGATGGTACTTCTACTACTGGGTGAGTTAAATCTGGAGTTAAATCTCGCATATTTGAACAGACTGTAATTAACTCACTTCAGTCAAACGATGCAAGCATTATTAACAGCAAAGAATATAGCCATGAATTGTAAACTTAAGAAATCATGTCTTTGTTTTCTTTATATTGAAGGTTCCCTCTTAGCATTTGACATGACAGGAGCACATCGTCACCGGAGATGTCGTCGTCATCGTCATAGACGTCGTCGTCACCACGGATGATTATCAATGATGGATTACTGCCCTCGAGGTAGAGCACCAGAGGCATTTGTTATGCTTTGTATAATTTCTGTGACATATACCTCACTATTCTGAAATCCTAAAGGGCCATCATTTACAGAACCTTGTCCACTACTATCAATGTATGAAATAAATACGGATGTTCAAATCCACACAATATCGAGTTGTTATATGGGCCCAAGTAGGTGACACCGGGTGTCCTATTGTACTTAACCTCAATGATAACCTCCAGCTTTTAGGGCGATTACATGTCCAAATGTTCATCATGAATGGTTGATGATAGTTATTAGTTCAAATAAGCAGTTATCAAACGTTACAGGACGTGATGTTTAACGGTGATATTCTTACATTTGTCGATATAACTGATAGGGCGGTGCGGTAGCCTAATAGTCAAAGCATCAGTACACCACACCGGAGATCAGAGTTCGAGCCATTTCAATGTTACAATGCATAAAGCCCATTCCCGGTATCATATGGCCGGAGTTCTGCAATAACATTCTGCGCACACACTAATGTATCCTATGTTTCTGTTTCAGAGGAATGATCTACACCAGAGCACCAACATGGAAATGAGAGAATGCTTTTAATAAATCATCTTAAACAAATCCTATTGTGTGTTGATTAAACTAAGAGGCTGGTAAGGTCAGGTCGATATTGAATGATGTAAAAATGAGTGAGTGAATAGAGTTATATTTTAGGTATGTCTTTCATAGAAAAGTCAACGGCTGGAGACTTTGGGCAGCGATAACACTGACATAAGCAAGGTACGGGTGGCCGAGTCGTCTAAGGCGCCGCGATTCGCTGTGCAGAGTTGCGTCCCTTGGGCACGCCAGAAACCTATGATTGTGGGTTCGAAGTGGTAAATGTCTGAGACCTGCATCACTTGGGGCTTTCCTCCCACATTAAGCTGACACGCCGCGATATAACTGGAATACTGTTAAAATCGGCGTTCAACCCAACTTACTCACTCACTCACTCATATGTGATGAGAGACTACATGGACATGTCTTTTGCGGCAGTCAGCACCAATCTAGCCATGTCACGGCGATTTGTAAAAAAGTAGACTGGGACCAGACAAAAACAGTGGTTGATATCATGAGCAGGGAGTGCGATGAGACGCAACAACCAGTTCACCTCTTACGCACTTTAGACACATCTCAACATGACGACTTGAAATATTGCCGGGGACCACAGTTCAACTGAATAACAGCGTGGGCCAATAATCTTGGCGCACAAACAGTTCTGTGTGTTAGGTGACGTGAGGTAGCGTCGCGTTTAAGCTTATTGCACTTGTATAGCAACGTGGTGTTAGTTAGTCAGGTGTACATATATAAGACAGATATAACGCTTTTCATATTCATAAGAAATCTCTGTCGAAAGCAGAGTCGAGTGTACGATTCCGACTACATCATAAGCATGTGTTTATGAAACACTATTAAATAGTGATTATACTAGGTTTTCACGAAAAGGTGAGCGTATCCTGCCCCACCGGTGGCACCCGTCACAAACACATGCAACGACAAGTCAATTTTCATCTGTAACAACACGGAAACATATTGCACAAATCAAAACAGGAAATTGTATTGGGTATCATTCTTGCCACTGATGCCTAAAATGTGTAAATGTCCTCCACATGTCATAATTATTTTTGAAAGGTTTACTGAGGCCTTGAATGTTGAAAATTAGAAAGTTGAAGTCATCCCTCTTGTCATACAATATTGCAGAGAGTGTTCTGTCACTCTGAATCTTTATGCACAGATGCAAATGTGACACTGATGAGGCGGTCTCACTGGTCTCCTTTTTTTCTAGTTCAGGTAAGTAAATCAGTGGAAGGGAATTGGCTATTTAATGGTTATTGAGGGATATCATATTATCGATATACCTAAAGCTTAAGTTAAACTTCATGGCCAAATTACCTCCTTTTGACTTTGCCAATCAGAGCAGAAATTCCGATTCATATTCATAAATAAACATATGTACGGTTGGTAATATATCGGCGATATAATTGCTTGTCAATGCAAATCTCCTAGCATTAGTAAATAAACGTGGTGGTTAACAACTGGAAGGGAATAAGGTGGGCTTCTGGAATTGGTTTAAGTGTTTAACTGTTGAATTCAAGTCTTATATTTTGATTTAGTACTAAGTAGAGGACGCAGGCTTAAAACGTTTAGGAATAACAAGTTCTTTATTGTTTGTGACGACTTTTCAAGGCTATTTCTTGCCCTTCATCCGCTGGAATCTTGACCATTAGTCAGCTCTTTGATATCACACCCAGCTCCATCACCCCGAGGGACGGTCGGGTAGCCTAGTGGTTAAAAGGTTCGCTCGTCACGCCGAAGACACGGGTTCGATTCCTGAAATGGGTACAATGTGTGAAGCCATTTCTAGTGTACCCTGCCGTAATATTGCTGGAATATTGCTAAAAGCGGCGTAAAACCATACTCACTCACTCAACCCATCACCCTGATCGCACTACTTCACTAACAGCTCCCCTCGTTTATCATAGTGTGCTATATATTTATTGCTGTCTTATAATTGTCAAGGACGGGGTAGGACAATGGGCCATTTTGGCCCACTGAAAATGTAAAATTTTAAAATTAAAAGAAAAACTAAAAGATTATAAGTTATGTTCAAATGGCTTCGACTAGCCTCATTCCTTCGTGCGAGTTGTTTACTTCTGACATTATGAAGTACATAAATATGAATTATTGGCCTCTTTTTGACCTTCAACAATAAAGCAGAAAGTCCATGGCCAAGGATGTTTCTTGCCATATGCCTGTTCTGTTACTACCTAGACTCTCTAAGAAACTCAACGTCAAAGGTTTGCTCATGTTCACATATTAGAACAACGCTGCTTGAAAACCTCTAAAATCAGCCTTTTTGACACATTTTAGCCTTACCTATGTACTATATGTACCTATGAATTAAGGCCAATACATGCAACTCTTTCATTCGCATTGCAATTCTCTACTTCTAATTCACGTGATCACATCTGATAATGATAATGTGCAAAGGTTTTCCTCATTTTTTAAAATATGCAGATGAATCTTACCCTACCCTTCTTCTTTATACTATCCCGTGTGGACCGCCTCCGTGGTCTAGTGGTAGAGAGTCTGCCCGGAGAGCGGAAGGTCCGGGGTTCTATCCCCGGCCGCGTCATACCAAAGGACGTTTAAAGATGTTTTTTTGTTGTTACCCTGTCTGGCGCACGGCATTAAGAGGCTAAAAGAATGACTGGTCGGCTCGGAGTCAGTACACTGTGTCTGGGTGGGGTATTCATGTTAAACTGCGGCATGGTATCTCAGTGAGCTAGCACTGTAAATCGGCATCAGTCCGGACTAGTACAAGCAGCCACACACACACCTGCATGCACGTCTTGGGCGCGACGTTGAACCCAATTTCACCTCAACTCACCTATCCTGTGTTTATATATTTACGGGATATTACAGGAACTCCAATTTACTATAAAGTGTTCCGAGTGAATTAATCTTCACCTTGCCCGAGTAAACATTGAGGCCAAACTGAAAATTATTTCTCGAAGGACATGAAACTTGATATTTGATTGTAGTTCGTGGAAATGTTCTATTTATTATCAGAGATGTCATTTCAAGGGGAATTAACAGAACAGTTTCAGTACCGTCTGTGCAGTAACTGAAAGAAAGGCAAATGTTTGTTGACCAAACCACGGCGGAAGTCAGTGATGTCATTGCACTGTAGGGGCGGTCGGGTAACCTAGTGGTTAAAGCTTTCGCTCTTCACGCCGAAGACCCGGGTTCGATTCCCGACATGGGTACAATGTGTGAAGCCCATTTCTGGTGTCCCCCGCCGTGATATTGCTGGAATATTGCTAAAAGCGGCGTAAAACCATACTCAATCACTCACCTCAAATGCGTACAACTGGGGAAATAAATGTCTTCAACGGGTTTCCGAAAGCAACAATGTTTATATAATTGCTTATCAGTCGATGATGTATGGATACAGGATAGCTACACGATAAATCGCAAGGAACAACGAAGAACAAAGCAGTGGTGAACGTTTCTGATGATTCGAATATGCGCTCGCAACGTGATGACGTTATATATTGGACGACGTTATTTTTGAGAGGGCAGTGTCTAGTAGGTTGTCCTCCATGTACATAGCAGTGGCCGAACGATGGCGTCCAAGAGTGGGAGAGATATGACAATCGGCATGAGGAGAAAAGATACAGATTATCGACGTGATTATTGTGAGAACATGTGGGAAAAATCAAACTTAACCAACCATCTTAAAATGGACTTTTAAAATTTCCCAGGTCGGATTCTATTCAGGGATTCATCATTAATACAATTTGGGTAAATATTGTTTAAAGCTTGTACATTTTATAAACACCTTTAAATAGTTTCATAAGTATTATTGTTGCTACCTGATAATAAAACACTGCAGGGAGAATATACTACTCGGGGCTGCGCCCCTTATGGTTAGTTCTCCCTGCAGTGTTTTATTGTACGATAAACAACGACCACAAGTCGTTTATTTCTTAAGTAGGAAATATGAATTTACTGTTATGCCTACCATTCTGGAGGTGAAAAGATGTTCATATTGTTTGTACTCGACAACCCAATGAGACAGAAAGCAAAAAGAGTAAGGATATATATGGATCTTAGGTATATCAGGTAGTTACAATAATAATTATGAAACTGAATGATATTCATCGTTTTGAATGAAGAAAATTGAATTGACGATTCCGATTGTATCATGATCATGTGTTTATGAATCACTATCAAATGGTGATGATACAATCTGTTCACGAAAAGGTGAGCGTATCCGCGGACTTTTGTAATCCTGTTCATACTTCATAGAAAGAGCATGCTCGTTTGTAACTCAAAAGTTGTGAAATGTAGTGGCCATGAGCTGGAATTGCATGAATACAGGGAAAGTTGACTATTGGAATGTTGTAGTCATCTTTCGTTGACAGTCAGCCTTGTAAAGAATTGTTCGTCACTCTGAATGAATGACATCGGCAATATTTCAGCCATATCTTGTCGAGGTTGTCACTCCGAATCTTTCTTCTGTGGTCTACATATAACGTTCGTTTAACTACAGTGGACATGAGATGACTACCCTTTCCTCCATTTTTTTATTTTACGTAAAACTGTGGTAAAAGTTATATTTTCAAGTATTTTCGGGAACGATTATTGATTAAAAAATCCAGCCCATAGTATTGCCTGAAGAATTAGGTAAATGTTTCTTTAACGTAGAGAATGATGACCATGAAATTATTAACAGAATTTGTATAGCCTTTAGCTCTCATCATTGATCATGAATTCAATCGTGGTGACGATGGCGGCGGTGACATCTACATCTTCGGTGACGATGTGCTCCAGTCATGCCAAATGCCAATGAGAAACCTATAATATTGAAGTCCAAAGTTTTGTAAATTCATGACTGCAAACTTTAATGTTCATAATACTTGCATCGTTTGAATGTAAGTTGATTAATATTGTTTCTGAGTTTATATAGATACAAGTGTGGTACTTATTTTAATCGCAGTTACAATTTACCCAGCAGCAGAAAAAAATATTAGATAAGAAATCTTCATCCTGTACTAATATTCTGCAGTCACAATGTTCTCACAACCTACTCACTAGGTAGCGAATGTCTGCTTAGCGTTCACAGTAAGTTCATACATGTTCAAAATAATTAAAATAAAATATAAAATATATATAAAACACCGCCAGTTAAAACGTGTGTATCGCTCCTATTGCGCCTGCGGACTTTTGATGTTGACAAACACGTTTATTGACCACGTACTCTCCGAGTACCTACCTCCTCGCTGTGCATCAGTGTCCCCGACGACGCACTGGTACCTGCTGACAACGAGAACCATCAACAAACGCCGCTAGTTCGCTGGTTGAAGGGAGACACGTCTACGAAGTTAGACGTGGTTCTCAGGATCAACAAACAGCAAGTAGTCCAAACTTAACACAACCAAAATGGCATCGATTGAAGTAATTTCCTGATGAACTTCCGAGTTTAGTTGTGTATAAAGGACATCGTGCTAGCCAGAACAACACAATCTGATCTTTCAATCAAACATAAACGGGTCCCTCAGTCCATCATGAAGATCTCTTATCTACTGGTGATGCTTTTGTTGGGTGAGTCGTTCCAGATGATTGATGTTAATTCTAAATTCTCGCGGGTTAAACTTCTAGATCTCTTGTAAGCTGATGGTGACTTTGTTTGGCGAATAGTCCCAGTAGATAGTATTCGCTCAGTCTGGATAAACTTTCAATTTATATATGCTGCAATTGATTAAACGTCTTATGCTGCAAGTACATAATTCACGAAATGACACCCGAATATAGTTCTTCATTTGGGTTATTTTTCTTTCAGGATCTTTGCTTGCATTTGACATGACTGGAGCTTATCGACATCGCCGATGTCGTCGCCATCGTCACAGACGTCACCGTCGCCATCGACATCACGGTTGACATATATATGCATACTCTATATGTATATGTATATGTAACAAGCCAAGGTAATCTTGAATCCCTCCTTCGTTGCGAGTAATGGTTGAACGCTTTCAGTATATTTTCCAGAAATGAAATACCTACATTGGTTATAAAATGAACTGAAATGTGTATTAAAGAAATATATTTATGACCTTTCTCATTAAGTTCCCAGCGAACATATTTATATATGGAAAATCTAATGATCAATACATTTAATATTTGATATATTTTCCAATTTTTCATCATTTCAAAGATTAGTTTGGTTTTATTTCAGGCCTTCGGAAGAAAACAATTCTCCATATACTTCGGATTCATGTGCATGTACATATTATTCAATAAAGAGACTGAACTATCTAAGTGTCTCATGTTTTGTCGAGATAATGTGGACTAAGAATCGTTCTAAAGTAAACAAGACACTGTCACAGTTTCGTTATTATTACTGGAATATTGCTTTAGGCGGCGTAAAACCATACTCACTCACTCACTCACTCACTCACTCACTCACTCACTCACTCAATCACTCACTCAATCACTCACTCAATCAATCACTCAATCAATCACTCAATCAATCAATCACTCACTGAGTATATATTTATTGTGAGCATCTGTGCCCCAACCTTGATGTGAAAGCATAAAGGATTAGAAACACTGTTTAATACACTAAAGCGAATTTGTGATTTGAGCCACATGCAATAACGCGGACAACATGTTACTGACGGTTATATTTTTATGGAGCCGACACTTGTTTATCCAGCGAGAATAATACAAGTAGGTCCACAGTATCCCAGAGATGGTGATGGGGACCTTAGGTTACGATGCGTGACTTGGGGGAAGCCATCATGACCCGTCGGGTGGGTCTCTTGAAATTTCCTGACTGTGAACACACAATGCCATTTAGAAAGTGGTCAAATGTATCAAATGATATATTTGGGAAAACACTTTCTTAGTAAATTACAGATTCTATTACTTTGTGGGGGGCTAAATCCCATATGGATTCGAACCCACACTGCCAGAGTGAGGCATCAATCGACAGCACACAATGTCAGCGATCTAACCAACTCAGTCTCCGGGGCTTGAATAAAAAAATGAAAGTCTGACTGGTAGTCTAGATCACGTCCTTTGTGTACCCCTCTGACGAGTGAAAATTGACACGGCTCCCATGGCCGAAAGCTATGAACACACAATGCCATTTAGAAAGTGGTCAAATGTAACAAATGTTATATTTGGTGGACTCAACCCCAAAAAGTACCAGAATCAGAAAGTGTTATAACATTGTAAAGAAAGTAAATAACATTGATTTCGCTTTACTTAATTCATCTTGAGCTTCATTAAATAACAATTTACGGAAAATTGAAGTTTCAAAACCACACAACCAGAAGTGACACAACTAACCAAATTTCGACATTTGCGACCAATTGTTCACCAAAGGGAGACAATGCCTGAACATCACACTTGGAGGTCAAAACCTACTGCTTGAAAAAATTGTCGAGATGGTGAAAAACGTCACACGCATGAACAGACGATGACTGACCTAATGCATGTTGAGTTAATATCCATGCATTTATTACCAATGGCGCAAAACATATCGGTGCACATATCTCTCATTGTGAACCCTGACCTTTAGGTACGTGTTCATAGTGCGACATTTACGAGATATTACGATCAATTTAAATTTGTTAGATAAGCGCTTTCACAGTTATGATAAGGCCTTACTGCATTTAAAAAAACACAAATAGGGCCTTTTAATTTGACAATAACATATAATTTGGGAAACTATTTTTTACAGCGCAATGAGTGAGTGAGTGAGTGAGTGAGTGAGTGAGTATGGTTTTAAGCTGCTATTAGCAATAATCCAGCAATATCACGGGGGGGGGGGGGGGGGGGGGGGGGGGGCACCAGAAATGGGCTTCACACATTGTACCCATGTCGGGAATCGAACACGGGTCTTTAACAACTAGGCTACCCGACCGCCCCTACAGCGCAATGACATCACTGACTTCCGCCGTGGTTTGGTAAAACAACATCGGCCTTTCTTTCAGTTACTGTACTGCCGGTACTGAAACTGTTTTGTTAATTCATCTTGAAATGACAACTCTGATAATAAATAGAAATTTCCACAAACTACAATCAAATATCAACTTGTATGTCCTTCGAGAAATAATTTTCAGTTTGGCCTGAATGTTTACTCGGGCAAGGTGAAGATTAATTCACTCATTAAAACACTTTATAGTAAATTGGAGTTCCTGTAATATCCCGTAAATATATTAACACGGGATAGGTGAGGTGAGGTGAAACGTCGCGTCCAAGACGTGATGCACGCGTGTGTGTGTGGCTGATTGTACTAGTCACTGAGATACCATGCGCAGTTTAACATGAATACCCCACCAAGACACAGTGTACTGACTGCGAGCCGACCAGTCCTTGTTTTAGCCTCTTAATGCCGAGCGCCAGACAGGGTAACAACAAGTACAATCTTTAAACGTCTTTTGGTATGACGCGGCTGGGGATCGAACCCCGGACCTTCCGCTCTCCACGGAGGCGGTCCACACGGGATAGTATAAAAAAGAAGGGTAGGGTTAGAGTCATATGCATATTTTAAAAAATGAGGAAAACTTTTGCACATCATCATTATACTGATGAGATTTGATCACATCAATTAGAAGTAGAGAATTGCAATGAGAATGAAAGAGTTGTATGTATGGGCCTTACTACAACACTAAGTACATAGGTAAGGCTAACATGTGTCAAAAAGGTTGATTTTAGAGGTTTTCAAGCAGCGTTTTTCTAATACGTGAACATGAGCAAGGCTTTGACGTTGAGTTTCTTAGAGAGTCTAGGTAGTAACAGAACAGGCATATGGCAGGAAACATCCTTGGCCATGGAATTTCTGCTTTATTGTTGAAGGTCGAAAAGAGGCCTATTAATCCATATTTATTTACTTCATAATGTCAGAAGTAAACAACTCGCAAGAAAGAATGAGGCTAGTCGAAAGCCATTTGAACATAACTTATATTTTAATCTTTTAGTGTTTCTTTTAATTTTAAAATTTTACATTTTCAGTGGGCCAAAATGGCCCATTGTCCTAACCCGTCCTTGACAATTATAAGACAGCAATAAATATAAAGCACACTATGATTAACGAGGGGAGCCTATAGTGAAGTAGTGCGATCAGGGTGATGGAGTAAGTGAGTGAATATGGTTTTACGCCGCTTTTAGCAATATTCCAGCAATATTACACCAGAAATGGCTTCACACATTGCACCCATGTCAGGAATCGAACCCGTGTTGCGTGACGAGAGAACGCTTTAACCACTAGGCTACCCGACTGTCCCTCAGGGTGATGGAGCTGGGTGTGATATCAAAGAGCTGACTAATGGTCAAGATTCCAGCGGATGAAGGGCAAGAAATAGCCTTGAAAAGTCGTCACAAACAATAAAGAACTTGTTAGTCCTAAACGTTTTAAGCCTGCGTCCTCTACTTAGTACTAAATCAAACTAAGACTTGATTTCAACAGTTAAACACTTAAACCAATTCCAGAGGCCCACCTTATTCCCTTCCAGTTGTTAACCACGACGTTTATTTACTGATGCTAGGAGATTTGCATTGACAAGCAATTATATCGCCGATATATTACCACTCCGTACATATGTTTCTTTATGAATATGAATCGGAATTTCTGCTCTGATTGGCAAAGTCAAAAGGAGGTAATTTGGCCATGAAGTTTAACTTAAGCTTTAGGTATATCGATAATATGATATCCCTCAATAACCATTAAATAGCCAATTCCCTTCCACTGATTTACTTACCTGATCTAGAAATAAAGGAGACCAGTGAGACCGCCTCATCAGTGACACATTTGCATCTGTGCATAAAGATTCAGAGTGACAGAACACTCTCCGTAATACTGTATGACAAGAGGGATGACTTCAACTTTCTAATTTTCAACTTTTCATTTATGACGAGCAATATTGCTGCAGCCTCAACATTTGGTGTCTACATTTCACAACTTTCGAGGTACAATCGAGAATGCTCTTTCTATGAGGATTTCAAAGGGCGTCATTAGACTCTTGCTCCATAGCTGTTTGATCAAGGTTACAACATTCAAGGCCTCAGTAAACCTTTCAAAAATAATTATGACATGTGGAGCACATTTCCAAATTTTAGGCATCAGTGGCAAGAATGATGTCCAATACAATTCCCTGTTTTGATTTGTGCCATATGTTCCCGTGTTACAGGTGAAAATTGACTTGCCGTTGCATGTGTGTGGTGGGTGCCACCGGTGGGGCAGGATACGCTCACCTTTTCGTGAAAACCTAGTATTATCACTATTTAATAGTGTTTCATAAACACATGCTTATGATGTAGTCGGAATCGTACACTCGACAGAGATTTCTTATGAATATGAAAAGCGTTATATCTGTCTTATATATGTACACCTGACTACCTAACACCACGTTGCTATACAAGTGCAATAACCTTAAACGCGACGTTACCTCAGATCACCTAACACACAGAACTGTTTGTGCGCCAAGATTATTGGCCCACGCTGTTATTCAGTTGAACTGTGGTCCCCGGCAATATTGCAAGTCGTCATCTTGAGATGTGTCTAAAGTGCGTAAGAGGTGGACTGATTGTTGCGTCTCATCGTACTCCATGGGCATGATATCAACCACTGGTTTTGTCTGACCACCTCCGTGGTCAAGTGGTAGAGTGTCCGCCGGAGAGCGGGAGGTCCGGGGTTCGATCCCCAGCCGCGTCATACCAAAATATGTTAAAAGATGGTACTTGTTGTTACCCTGTCTGGCGCTCGGCATTAAGGGGCTAAAACAAGGACTGGTCGGCTCGGAGTCAGTATACTGTGTCTGAGTGGGGTATTCATATTAAACTGCGGCATGGTATCTCAGTGAGCTAGCACTATAAATCGGCATCAGTCCGGACTAGTACAAGCAGACACACACATACACGTGCATGCACGTCGCTATATAAGTGCAATAATCTTGGAGCGACGTTAAACCCTATTTCATCTCACCTCACTGGTTTTGTCTGGTCCCAGTCTACTTTTTTACAAATCGCCGTGACATAGCTAGATTGGTGCTGACTGCCGCAAAAGACATGTCCGTGTAGTCTCTCATCACATATGAGTGAGTGAGTGAGGTGGGTTGAACGCCGCTTTTAACAGTATTCCAGTTATATCGCGGCGTGTCAGCTTCATGTGGGAGGAAAGCCCGAAGTGATGCAGGTCTCAGACGTTTACCACGTCGGTGAAACCCACGAACTCGTGTATGGTGCTGACAAGCCTAGAAACATAATCGGGACGAACCGGGATTTGAACCCACAATCATAGGTTTCTGGCGTGCCCAAGGGACGCAACTCTGCACAGCGAATCGCGGCGCCTTAGACGACTAGGCCACCCGTGCCCCCTCATCACATATGAGTTGAGTGGCATTGGAATCGTGTGGTTGCAATGTGTGACCTTGCTTATGTCAGTGTTATCGCTTCCCAAAGTCTTCAGCCGTTGACTATTGTATGAAAGACATACCTAAAGTATAACTCTATTCACTCACTCATTTTTACATGATTCAATATCGACCTGACCTTACCAGCCTCTTGGTTAAATCAACACACAATAGGATTTGTTATAGATGATTTATTAAAAGCATTCTCTCATTTCCATATTGGTGCTCTGGTGTAGATCATTCCCCTGAAACAGAAACATAGGATACATTAGTGTGTGCGTAGAAGTTTATTAGAGACCTCCGGCCATATGATACCGGGAATGGGCTTTATGCATTGTACCAGTGAAATGGCTCGAACTCTGATCTCCATTGTGGTGAACTGATGCTTTGACTATTAGGCTACCCCACCGCCCTATAAGTTACATGGACAAATGAAAGAATATCACCGTTAAACATCACGTCCTATAACGTTTGATAACTGCTTATTTGAACTAATAACTACCATTATAGCTAAAATGGATAGAATTATCATTAAAACGCCCGCATGTTATCACAAATGAGCGGGCCACTGTAACTTGATAATGCCCTCATATTGCTTGACGACGGGCCATTATCACGCCCGTTGTTAGGTGACGTCACAGGGATAGGAAAGGTGACGTCACGTTCAATAGTGACGTCATCTGATTTGTTCTAGGACGTTTCCATATTTGTAAAAGTTGGTCAGTGAAATTCGTGTTGATTGCACTAAATGTTTCAAAACCGATATTGTTTATTTTTATTTGATTACAAATTCTATCCAATTTAGCTATAATAACGGTAAAGCTATTTTTCAGGGCATTATCATTTGCAGAAGCCCTCGGTCTTTTCAACTGCCCTCCTTCGTCAGGCAGTTAATGGAAGACCTCGGGCTACTGCAAATGGAAACGCCCTGCAAAAAAGCGTTACCGTTATATCAACCATTCATGATGAACATTTGGACATGTAAGCTGGAGGTTATCATTGAGGTTAAGTACAATAGGACACATGGGGTCAACTACTGGGACCTGTGTAACAACTCGATATTGTGTGGATTTGAACATCCGTATTTATTGCATACATTAATAGTAGTGGACAAGGTGCTGCAAATGATTGCCCTTTAGGATTTCAGAATAGTGAGGTATATGTAACAGAAATTATACGAAGCATAAGAAATGCCTCTGGTGCTCTACCTCGAGGGCAGTAATCCATCATTGATAATCATCCGTGGTGACGACGACGTCTATGGCGATGACGACGACATCTCCGGTGACGATGTGCTCCTGTCATGTCAAATGCTAACAGGGAACCTTAAATATAAAGAAAACAAAGTCTTGATTTCTTAAGTTTACAATTCATGGCTACATTCTTTGCTGTTAATTGCTGAGTTAATTACAGTCTTTTCAAATATGCGAGATTTAACTCCCGATTTAACTCACCAAGCAGCAGAAGTACCATCAGGAAAGATATCTTCATCCTGTACTTCTAAAACTAGCCTGCTGCCTGAACGTAAATAGAACAAGATGACGAGGTTGTGAAGGTATACTATGTCCTCACAAACACTTTATATATATACAAAACTGCCTCGAAGTAAACGTGTGTATACCTTTCATAACGCCTGTCGACTGTTGATGTTGACAACCACGTTTATTGACCAGGTACTCGCCATGTGACCACCACCACGCTGTGCATCAGTGCCCCCGACGACGTCCCGTGAACTCTCTACATCATCACACCGACATCGGCAACAGCCGCCTTTAGCCTGCTGGTAGAGGTGAGACACGTCTGTGAAAATTGACGTGGTTGCTAGTGTCAACAAACAGCAAGTAGTCCCAAGATAACAACCAAGAGGGCATCCATACATCTTTTTCCCTGATGAACTTCCGAGTTTACTTGCATATAAAAGGCCAGTAGGTAGGCAAAACACCATCAGGGTCTTCAGGGGCAAATCTGCAGTCAGTCCGTCTTCAGACGCTTCTTTCTTTCCATCATGAAGATCTCGTATCTGCTCGTGGTACTTTTGTTGGGTGAGTAGTTCCAGTACATTGAAAACAATACAATTAAAATCTGAATCCCCATAGATCAAACTTGAAGATCTCTTCTCTGCTTGAAGTGACATTGTTTCGTAGTATTGATGGGCGCGTAGTCCAAGAAGATTGTGCTGGTTCATATGGTCCTTCAATTTATTTGTCAAGGCAAAATACTTGTCTGATTCGTGGAGTTATGAACCCTCCTTTGTTGTAAGTAATTAATGTACATTCACAAAACAACATAAATTTTACTTCAGAAAATATGTCTTCTATTGGGTTATTTTTCTTCCAGGATCTTTGCTGGCATTTGACATGACAGGCGCTCATCGTCATCGCCGATGTCGTCGCCATCGTCACAGACGTCACCGTCGTCATCGACACCATGGTTGACTTATAGGTGCATACTCTATATGTAACACCTCACACGTACATGTCAGTAAGTACTTTGGAAGATAATCGTTACAGTTTGGTACAGGGGTGGTCGGGTAGCCTAGTGGTTAAAGCGTTCGCTCGTCACGCCGAAGACCAAGGTTCGAATCCCAACATGGGTAAAATGTGTGAAGCCCATTTCTGGTGTGCCCCGCCGTGAAATTGCTGGAATATTGCTAAAAGCGGCGTAAAACCATACTCACTCACTCACTCACAGTTTCGTACATGCCTTCGACGCGATTAATCATGAAGAGTTAAAAGCATAATACAAAATATCTACATTGGCGATTAATTAGGACGTATATTACTGATCATGGAGAGGGTATAAAAGAAGGTCCGCTATGCCAGTCATGGCATTGTATTATTAACATCCAGTTGTGCAGATCTTTATATCGGATTTTAGGGAGTCATATTTCATATTGCCTTTTCAATATTGACAAATATTTCTTTTTGTTTGTTTCAGGTCTTCGTCCGAAAAGAACTCTAAATATACTTCGGATCAATGTACATGTACATATTCAATAAAACATATCTAAGCGTACCATGTTTTGACTGACAATGTGTTTTCATGTTGAGTAAACTAGGTACTGTCACAGTTTCACTTTTTCTCTTCATGTTTCTCCATGTCAGTCAGTCTTAGCCTTTTCAGCTCATTTTGTAGGTTTAACGTCACGTCGAAGATTATTGCACGTATATAGCGACGTTGATTGAAGTGTGAGTGTGTTATTGTGTGTGTGTGGCTGCTTGTACTAGTCCGAACTAATGCCAATGTTATAGAGCTATCCCTACTGAAATACCATGCCTCAGTTTAACATAAATATCCCACTCAGACACAGTATACTCCGAGCCGACCAGCCCTTATTTTAGCCCCTTATTGCCGAACGCCAGTCAGGGTAACAACAAGAACCATATGTTAACGTCTTTTGGCAAGACGCGACGGGGATCGAACAGCGGGACCTTTCGCTTCCCGGGCGGACGTTCTACCACTAGATATATGGAGGGGAAATAGCAGAAGGTTTGTACTCAGAGAGGATATATCACGATCAAGGCTCCTAATCAACGTGGATTTCGGATTCAGATAAACCAATCAGCCATGCATGCATCCTCACAGGGTGAGGTCACCCTGACCAATGGTTGACCTTATGACATCACATAGTTATTACGGGACGGTGGGGTAGCCTAGTGGTTAAAGCGTTCACTCGTCACGCCGTAGAAGCGGGTTCGATAACCCACATGGGTGCAATGTGTGAAGCCCATTTCTGGTGTCCCCCGTCCTCATATTGCTGGAATATTGCTAAAAGCGGCGTAAAACCATACTCACTCACATTACACAGTTATTACCCTAGATGCAAAATATACATGGGCTAATATTCACTGAGGAGGTTTTAACTCGGGACATAAATTTGATGTGAAAAAGAGTGAGTGTGTGACTGAGTGGGGTATTTGACTTATATCGAGGCGCTTCAGGTGAGTGTTGGAGGGGAGCTCGAAGGAGAACCCATTTGCACGGATGTGATGCAAACAAGACTCCTATATCGGCAATATGTGAATGGCGGCACATGGGACTGGGACAGAAATGTCACTTTGATGTGAATGACTGAGTTTGGATAAGGGCTGCTTTAAACAGTATTTCAGTTACATATACAACAACGTGTCACCTTGTAGTGGGCTTAAAGGTCTTCGCTGAAATCCATGAGCAGAGGTATGGGGGTTAGAAGCATAATAAGATCAAACCGGGATTCGAACCCACGATCATTGGTGTGTACAGCAAATTTGGTCACCTAAACCGACCTGGCCACCTTGAAAGGGAATTATCTAGGATTATTGACACTGATCAATACACCAAAGTGTATTTGGAAATTCAATACGCTTTGGTTAATTTTGTCGTCGTTTGCTGATCTTTGAAGGAGCAAGAAGACGGCAATTTCCTTCTACAAATACAAATACAAATTAAACATCAAATACATCAAATTTAAGTTCTGTACTTCTATTGACGGACTGAGGTACGTAGCTTTTGGGTGATTCAGGGAGTTAAAATTTAACTTCGCATCGGCATTATTTCAGCCATAAAGAGACGAACGTAGCTTTGAGCGGAGTGTTGTGACTATAGTGACAGAAGCTTCAAGATGGCAGGTAAGCCCCAGACCTGCCCCTCTCACCCCATGCCACCCACCCTGAAACACACATAACCCCTGAGTGATGATCATTAACCACGTGATATTTCAGTGAAAATACTACACCGTAACTATCTCCTTCGTAAACTGGCACAATTTACCACTATAATTCAGCAACTACTCACTGAATCATCCAACTACTGCCACCAAGCCAATTTCCTTATCAAATCAAAAATATATGGTAGGATTTAACAAAATTAACACAACACCATCACCAGACAATAAAACAATGCAGATACGTCACCTCAGCGTAAACGTCGTAGGTTCCTATTTCACGATTTCCCCCATTACTCTTGTGTTATATGTTTACATCCTTTACTCCCATAAACACCTTCTCTGTAGTTATATTTGTCCATACAAGTGAACTTACGTTTTATCATTTCATTTATATGTTTCTTGGTATGCGCCGAATGCGAAATCTGTTCCACCGGAAGCGATCGTAAACTCTCCAAATATTACCATCATCATCAAGCTTCAGAAAGGGGTGATTGAAATTGGATAGATTATGGTAGATGGTTAGTAGATGGTCCGTAGAATGTGTGTAGAAGTTGCCTCTGAAGGAGCAGCTGCAGTCGCAAGAGATCGACCACGGCACCCGAACCCCGAATTTGTTTTCTGCTCATGTCATCATCAGAGTCTTAAGCCAAATTCCATGTGACATAATTTCCTACAGTTTCTCATCCGACTGATTTGAAACCGGTTTCAGTTTTGTTTGTTTGTTGTTTTACGTTGTACACAATATTCCAGCTATCAAACAGCGGCCTGTAAATAACCGAGTTTGATCAAGAGAATCCAATGGTTGATATTGTCACCAACAACACAAGCCGTCGGGGTACCAAGTCACTGAAGATGACCACCCGATCCATTTGGCCGTCTCTTACGATCAGCATGGCCTGATGGGGATATATCCTAACCCAGACTTGCCACGGGGTGCAATGTACGAGGGCCGGTCAAAAAGTTCTAAGCCTAACAAATAAAACCAACAATTGTGGAAGCGTTTTTTTACTTATATTTGGGCATTGAAATCGTGTGCTTACAATGTGTGACCTTGCTTATGTCAGTGATATCGCTGCCTCAAGTCTTCAGCCGTTGTCTGTTCTATGAAATACCTAGAATATAACTCTATTCACTCACTCATTTTTACATGATTCAATATCGACCTGACCTTACCAGCCTCTTGGTTAAATCAACACACAATAGGATTTGTTATAGATGATTTATTAAAAGCATTCTCTCATTTCCATGTTGGTGCTCTGGTGTAGATCATTCCTCTGAAACAGAAACATAGGATACATTAGTGTGTGCGCAGAAGTTTATTAGAGACCTCCGGCCATATGATACCGGGAATGGGCTTTATGCATTGTACCAGTGAAATGGCTCGAACTCTGATCTCCAGTGTGGTGTACTGATGCTTTGACTATTAGGCTACCCCACCGCCCTATAAGTTACATGGACAAATGTAAGAACATCACCGTTAAACATCACGTCCTATAACATTGGATAACTCCTTATTTGAACTAATAACTATCATCAACCATTCATGATGAACATTTGGACATGTAATCGCCCTACAAGCTGGAGGTTATCAATAAGGTTAAGTACAATAAGACACATGGTGTCAACTACTGGGACCCACGTGACAACTCGATATTGTGTGGATTTGAACATCCGTATTTATTTCATACATAAATAGTAGTGGACAAGGTGCTGCAAATGATTGCCCTTTAGGATTTCAGAATAGTGAGGTATATGTCACAGAAATTATACGAAGCATAAGAAATGCCTCTGATGCTCTACCTCGAGGGCTGTAATCCATCATTGATCTTCATCCGTGGTGACGACGACGCCTATGGCGATGACGACGACATCTCCGGTGACGATGTGCTCCTGTCATGTCAAATGCTAAGAGGGAACCTTCAATATAAAGAAAACAAAGTCATGATTTCTTAAGTTTACAAGTCATTGCTACATTCTTTGCTGTTAATAATGCTTGCACCGTTTGATTGAAGTGAGTTAATTATAGTCTTTTCAAATATGCGAGATTTAACTCCAGATTAAACTCACCCAGCAGTAGAAGTACCATCAGGAAAGATATCTTCATCCTGTACTTCTAAAATAAGCCTGCTGCCTGAACGTTAATAGAACAAGATGACGAGGTTGTTAAAGGTATACTATGTCATCACAAACACTTTATATATATATAGAAAACTGCCTGGAAGTATACGTGTGTATAGCTTTCATAACGCCTGTCGACTGCTGATGTTGACAACCACGTTTATTGAGCATGTACTCTCCATGTGACCACCACCACGCTGTGCATCAGTGCCCCCGACGGCGTTCCATGAACTCTCTACATCATCACACCGACACCGGTAACAGCCGCCTTTATTTGCTGGTAGAGGGGAGACACGTCTGTGAACATTGATGTGGTTGCTAGTGTCAACAAACAGCAAGTAGTCCCAAGATAACAACCAAGAGTGCATCCATACATCTTTTTCCTGATGAACTTCCGAGTTTACTTGCATATAAAAGACCAGTAGGTAGGCAAAACACCATCAGGGTCTTCAGGGGCAAGTCTGCAGTCACTCCGTCTTCAGTCAAACCTGGACGCTTCTTTCTTTCCATCATGAAGATCTCGTATCTGCTCGTGGTACTTTTGTTGGGTGAGTAGTTCCAGTACATTAAAAACAATAAAATTAAAATTTGAATCCCAATACATCAAACTTGAAGATCTCTTATCTTCTTGAAGTGACATTGTTTCGTATTTTTAATGGGCGAGTAATCCAAGAAGATTGTGCTGGTTCATCTGGTCCTTCAATTTAATTGTCAAGGCAAAATACATCTCTGATTCGTGGAGTTATAAACCCTCATTTGTTGTAAGTAATTAATGTACATTCACAAAACAACATAAATTTTACTTCAGAAAATATTTCTTTTATTGGGTTATTTTTCTTCCAGGATCTTTGCTGGCATTTGACATGACAGGCGCTCATCGTCATCGCCGATGTCGTCGCCATCGTCACAGACGTCACCGTCGTCATCGACACCATGGTTGACTATTTGGTGCATACTCCATATGTAACACCTCACACGTACATGTCAGTAAGTACTTTGGAAGATAATCGTTACAGTTTGTACAGGGGCGGTCGGGTAGCCTAGTGGTTAAAGCGTTCGCTCGTCACGCCGAAGACCAAGGTTCGAATCCCAACATGGGTAAAATGTGTGAAGCCCATTTCTGGTGTGCCCCGCCGTGAAATTGCTGGAATATTGCTAAAAGCGGCGTAAAACCATACTCACTCAATCACTCACAGTTTCGTACATGCCTTCGACGCGATTAATCATGAAGAGTTAAAAGCATAAT